GGGCACTAACCCTGCAGCAAGAGGCAGGGTTAGACAAGAGGAAGGACCTCCGTATACTTAAGGAAGGAGGGAGAGGCTTCTGTCCTCCTCCGAATAGGAGAAATCTCCCTACTTTTATGAGGGGCAGGCCCATCTGATGCGGAGGCAGAAGAGGAAAGAATGACACCATTAAATTCCAGGGCCTCCCAAGACCACCCCACACCCGAGAAAAGATATCAGTGTCCCCACCCAATTCCAGGGCTCTGGATCCCCAGTTCTGACAAGAGGAAATCCAACTTTCTAAATCTGAAACCTCAAGAGACGGAGTGCTCCAGAGGGATCAGGGCTGTGCTGGGAGTGGCATCTCCCCTCCTCCATTCCTGGTCTCCCGTGAAATCCCCCTAACCCCATCAGTCCCGGTGGTGAGGTGGGCTGTGGAGTAGGGCCCCCCTGGTCCGCCTCCCCTTTTCCTCCTCCAGGAGCTGGCCTCCTCCCTCACTCCCAGCCGGAATGCAGCTCCTCTATTGTTCCCCACTGTGGGACAGCTCCTCCCCCGCTCCTCCCCCACCCCACAACTCCCCAGCCCAGCCCCTTCGCAATTTCCAAATCCCGCCCCCCCACTCCCTTTTGGAGCCGGAAGGGTCCCCAAGATCCCGTCTGCTCAATTTGGACCCTCACCAACACCCCTGCCCACCCACCAGGGGATGCTGGAGCTGAGGAGGGTGTGGTATCAGACACACTATACTGGATTAATTCTACGCACACACACACCCCCAACACACCCAGGCACACACAGTCCGCCAAATTTCCAGGTGACTGTTATTCACCCCTCAGCATGCCCACTCCCAGCTCACCCTACTCTCTCACTACCAGACCCCTCTCCAGGCCTCTGGCCCCAGGCCCTGGCCAGCCCAGAACAAAAGCCAGAGAGGGAAGAGAAGAGGTCCAAGCCAGGACAGAGCACTTCCTCGGAGACACCCCTTCCAAAATCTCACAGACATCCAACTTCGGTGTCTGGGGACCACAGGACCCCCTCTTCCCAGCGACCCCCCTTACCACTTCTCCCCCAGGCTGGGACCCTCCCCTGAGCCACACCCCCTTCCATTCCTACACTCAGCCCAACAAAGACACAGATACTCAGTCTGGCTTCCCGGGCCAGGTCTCCCCAAAGTCTGTAACTCCAGGCAGCAGAGGGTCCCAGGGGTGCCCCCTCCCCAACCCGCCAGCAGACACCGGAATAGGGGCTCCTGAGTAACTCCGCACATTCCGTCAGATTTTTTTTTTTTTT